ATGCTCACTAAACATTCTCAGGCCAAAGAACACAAAGGCACTGTGGGAAATGTGTGTTTAGATGAGCAAATATGTGCTCTTGTGTGTGCTTGAATGTGTGTGTGTGTGTCTATGTGCCTGTGCTCTAGGGGAGCTAAGGTGGCTGAGATGACTGCAGTCCACATAAAGAAGGGAGTTGCTGGGTTTAAGTGGAGGCATGAATGTGGGTGTGTCTGGGTGCCTGGGTATGTAAACATAAAGTGCACAGACCCTGGGGCACCAGAGCAGGTTAAAGGCAGTCGTATGTTTCCAGGGCTAGGGGTGTGGATGTGGGGGACTCTAACTCGTGACCCACTTTCTCATCTCACCACTCCCAGGCACTCTAGAAATCTCAACAGCCCATTCCTACACCTCACTGGTTCTTTCTCCAAACCCCAAGGCCAGAATGCCATGGCCTCCACCACATGCTGCAGAAAGATGGAACATTCTGGGAGTTTCTACACTAAGTGGCTCCAACAGGGTAGTGAGCGTCCAGCTGAAATCACCAGTCCTTCTGCTGCCACCCTCTTTACTGTTACAAAGCACTCTCCCCTCCAAAACTGTATTGTGCCTCCCCCTGCACAAGAAGAAGATGGGGCAAACTCAGATCACTATCCCCATTTTTTAAAAATGTTTTTTAGTTGTCAATGGATCGTTTTTTTTTTAAATTATTTTTTAGTTGTTGATGGACATTAATTTTTTATTTATTTATATGCGGTGCTGAGAATCGAACCCAGTGCCTCACATATATTAAGCAAGCGCTCTACCACTGAGCCACAGCCCCAGCCCTCACTATCCCCATTTTGCAGGGGAGGAAAGGACCCAGGGAAGTAAAGAGAATAGCACAAGGTAACAGGGCAGGTAAGCGATGGAGTTGAGGCTGGTGGCTCTGCACGTTGACAGGGTTACTTCAAGTTCTTTATTGTGGGGACGGGGTTACTGGACAGTTTCATCAAGGGCAGCTGCTCTCAAAGCCAGCACAAGGCCCAGTAGCCAAGAGGAGGGAAGAGGCAGAGGTGGGCTATTTGGGGGGTGAAGGTGGCAGCGGGTAGTTCTTTCATTGACATGCCCCAGTCAGTTGTGTGCTGAAGTTTCTCTAGTCTGATACGAGGCTTTAGCTTGAAGTGGGCAGAGTGATGAAGAGTTGTATATTTAACTAAGTTAAGGTTGTGATTTTACCATTAGGGAGTGTGTGTAGAAGTTAAATGTTTTTCCTTATGGAGTTACTGTGGGGAGAGTTAACTTGGGGCTTGGGATCATAGGGAGGCGGAAGGTAAAGATGGAAGCCAGCTGTGATACTGTGTAACCTGAGCCTCAGTCTTCCAATCTGTAACACAGACATTCTAACATTGGAGGCCTCCCCTGCTGCTGCAGATTTCAGAGGGATAGGCAAAAATGCATCTATAAATAAGAATAAATTAGTAACAATGCAAGCCTGGCACTGTGGTCCATGCCTGTAATCCCAATGGCTCAGGAGGCTGAGGCAGGAGAATCGCAAGTTCAAAGCCAGCCTCACCAAAAAAAAAAAAAAAAAAAAAAAAAAAAAGCAAGGCACTAAACAACCCAGTGAGCCCCTGTCTCTAAATAAAAAACAAAAAATAGGGCTGGGATG